GCTAGTGATTTATTTGTATTGTATTTTAGATTTGACTTTCAATTCAGTTCCTTGGCTCACACACCCACACACATACACAATCACAGACACTCAAAAAGACACTCACACTCACAACTTTCACGTTCGTCAGTTTTTTGATAAGCGAAGCGCGCGCGAGCTTACTTTGAGTAGTCTTTTGGTCGGAATGTGCGAGCGCAATGCTTGAACAGTTTGCTTGTAGCAGCCATCGACGACTGAGCAGACGCCGCTTGATGCTTGTTGTATTAAAGGACAACGCAGCAGGCGCTAGGACACTTGTGCGCTTTTCCCAAACTGCCACTGGCTCGCTGGCTGTGTCAGTTCCTGTCGCCTGCCAGCCGCTTGCCAGTTTGCCAGACTCACGCTCAGCTGTTGGCTAAAAAGCTGCAAAAAGCTCTCTCGCGCGCGCTCTCTATTATGAAAGCTGCAGCTACTGGCATGTAGATGGCGCTGTTGACACTTAAGCCCAAGTCTTTATAAGACGAACATGATTATATTTAACATGCTCATATCCTTAATTAGTATGATAGGCGTTGCTTAAGATTGTGTAACATTTTTTTGTGGTGTATCAAAATATTTCATTTCTTCTTACAAATAAGCAACAGCAATTCGTAATCGCATTTCAAATAACATTTACAATTAACCTGATCAATTTCGTTTTAAACATGCATAAATCGTTTGCCATCAAAAGTCTTATCGCGCACTTTTTCAAATATGGCACACAATATTGTAATAAAATGCTTTGCGGTGTTTGTACATATTGTTACTGCGCTTTTTACTCGGTATGCTAAAATTATATGGGTATATTACCTTTAGCCGTTATGTAAAAAGATACATTATAATCTGTGAGGCTCTAGGAAGCTTCTTTAAAGCTATTAAATAGCTGTTTAACTGACCCAATTACTACGAAGAAAATTAAACTCCAAAACTCATAGTATACGGTTACATTAATGAGAGAGTATCTGTCAGTCACAAGCTGGACGCCTTCCGCATTTTTATTTGTACTTGTTTTAATTCAGCTTTTATTTAACCCACGCTGAAAGGCTGCAAGTGCAGCCGCAGCGACCACAACAAAAGTCAGCTGCGATGTCTGATAAATGTCGGCATAAAGCCAACGGCAGAGCTGCCACTGACGGACGGACTATGGCGTTGACACTGATGGAACGAGCCTTGAATAGAGAGAACTGAAGCCAGGTATAGCCCGGGCATTAGCGCCCGCAGCAGGCAGCAGACAATTCGAATCAAAGTCGAAAGACGCGGCTACAAATAAAATACCCTACCTCGGCCGGTCCTACAAGAGAAAACAAAGTAGGCGATGCTTAAAAAGGCACAAAGTCACAAATTAAGAACACTCAAGCATAAAACTTCTGTCATAAAATGTACGCAACAGCTAGCATACCCCATTGAATACCCTACAAGTGTGCGGAAAGTGTTAAGGTAAAAAGCTGATGGCATATTGTACGAATGAAATGGTGCGTTAGGGTTTTTCTAATCAAGTGCAGGCCGCAAAGATGGTAATCTGTGTGACGTTTAATTAACAAGCAAGAAGCAAGCGAAGAAGTTACGCTGCGAACCCAATAGTCCCTCAATTGCAGTGTAACACACACACACACGCCCACGAGCTATCTGACAATAATGGTATCTGACTATGTGCCCAGCTCTGTTGAGGCTGCGCATAGAAACAAAGGACAAGTGCAGCAAGGATAATCGCATCACACTTGAGTAAATAAATTCCTGAAGTGGAACCAACCAACCATCCAGGGCACTTCACAGAGCCAAAAACTTGTAGCCAGCTGTCTAAGCGGGATGCACAGCCTAATGCTAAGGGCCAGCTAACGCCCACTCCTCGCTCCACTCTTGGTTATCAATGATATTGTTCGCCACACACAAAGGTATTGTTGGGCTATGAGGCGTATAGCTGGAATAAAATTAAAGGGAGAGAGAAAAAGGATAAGATTGGATAAAGAAGTTGCATTTCAATGCAGTCCGAGTTAATGACAAACGAAGAAGCAACTGTTTATCTTATAGGGAAACTGTATGGTATTAAACAAACCTCGCTTGACTGGGCATCTGCTTGACCCTTTTAACAACATTGATTCAATATTAAGTAAGCAGTCTGGCCAGCGGCATTTGAAACGATTTGTGTAATCAATCAGTCAATCATTAAACGAGTGCCCAGCTGAGCAAATACAATGGCAACGACCTTTACCCCTCTGCACAATTAAAAACCCAGCCATTTTTTATTTAATTTCTAAATTAGCTTAGAAACATTTAATTTGCATTCCAGAGATTTTCAGCGCTTATATCAAATTAAAACGCGAACAAATATTTATGAATTTATAATGCGAAAATCGAATGGGCTTAGTTCAACGTGGCCTTGCCTTGAGGATAAAACTGTTTGATAATAAAAAGTACAGATAAAAACTATAAATTATACATTTTATAAATTCTGTAAATACCTAAAATACTATTAAGCTATAATAAGCTATAATACTAATATACTATAAGTAAGTACCTATTAATCCTTAAATACATAAAGTACCGTAAATATTATAAATAAATAAAAAGTTGTCAATTTCTTTACAATTGTTCGTTTAATTGTCAATTTGTAACAAGCACTTGTTCCAAGAAACCATATATCTAATATATAACGCATAAAAGATAAAGATTTATTCCACGGTACAGGGTATTTAGGCTTCCAGTATTTACGTTTAGAGCATTCTAACAAATTTTCGTTAATTTGGCGCTTTTTTTGATTTTATTAAATTTGTAGATAATTAAAACGCAAATGATTTGCTGTCCTTTTACCGACTGCAAATTTATGACTTGCTTAAATTATTGATGCACAAACATATTCTTATGTTGTTGCAATTGAATGCACATCTTTGCACTTTTCGCTTTTTGTTATTGGACAAATATTTGAATATTCTGCAAAATTTCAGAGTCCAGTTGCAGGTATGGATCACAACAGCACAATGGAGAGGACTGACTGCTTCCTGCAGTTGACCAAAACATGCGACATCTCAAATGTGCAACTGGCTGCAAAATGGCCAAAGGGAATTGTAAACCAACAGCAACAACAGCAGCATTCAAATGTATCATTAGTTTACATTAGTTGCTGTACCAGCTTGTAAGTTGGTTTAATGAGGATGACATAAAGAAAATACATATCTTTGGGAGTAACTAGTGAAGTCAACATGTGAGAGCTGTCAGAGAAATATCTTTAAATTTAACTGTATAAAATGAATGAGCATTTATAAGTATTGCAGTTGAAAATAAATTAATGATTAATTATTCATCGAACCGGTTCGAGCCCGGAACCTGTACCGAGACATATTTGTTTTTCGAAAATATTAAAAACGTTTAAGACCCAGTCATTCACATAAATAGGCCTCAAATTGGTCTAAACATCATTTTCGGTAGAACTCATTTCAGCCCAAAATGCAGTTAAGCTATTGAAATTTTTAAGATTGGACAACGCCAGGTTTGAATTTGAGTTAATAAATAAAGAAATAAGTTTTTGAACCGAATTCCAAGGAGGGAGCTGTTTAAACACTAATATACCATATTATAATGTTTAATATATATTCAAAATTACCAATTTTATTTCATTATTCAATTTGTTTTGCAATGCGCCAGAATCTATCGGTATCTATCTACCAAGGGAAAGACTATGAAATAAGCTATAGTTACAATGTTTTGTTGTTTATATGGCGTTTTGAAGAGCTATTTACATAGATAATTGCAATATAGTCGATTGAGGACATTGCCGAATACTGTAAGGTATTTATACCTTTGTAACCTTTTGAGGCACCTCTTTGAGATGAGATTAGCACGGAGCAGGTCATCGGCGTAGCAACTGCTGAGAATGTTGATCTGATCCAACCAATGTAAGGCGGAGATTGAGTTCCAGGGCATCGTTTGTAACGTGCCATCGGAGGCCGGCAACCTTATATGCTACTTTTAATTAAAAATGATATTGTTGCTTTAACAGCGTGTCCAAAATTGAGGTCCATTAATTAAATTCGAGTAGTTAAAAAGTAACACAAATAAAATATCAGCTAGTTGGCACACTCGACAGCCAGACAGCGCACATGTTTCGATCAAAAACAAAACAAAATAAAAATAAAATTAAAATAAATACGAGGGCTCTTATCGGGAGGGATCGACTAGGAAATACCCTGGACCCGGCGACAAATATATTCTGTCATTCTACTCCAAATATATGCACAAAACACACACACACACCAGCAGCATGTCAACACTTTGGAAGAAGAGGATGGAATAACAGAGGGATGTGGGTAGCTCGACACAGTTCGCCATACTTCTCCCTATTACACACATTTACGCACAACCAAAATACCCTTTTTACCATTCAATGGGTGCAGGCTATAAAAATAAATAAATAAATAAAACCCCAACTGAGAGGTTTTTAGCTGACCTGACAGCTGCCGCATTGCTCCAATCTCGAGAGGCTTTCGAAAATATCAAGATGTTGTCGACAATCTTCGAATCGCTGCTCATTATTCAATACGACAGACTGAACAATTGCTGCATTGCTAGTTGTTTGAAGAGAGCGGATAGAACAGAAGAGGTGGCTGCAAATGTGTATTGCTTTGACGTGAAGCAGCTACCGATCGAACTTGAGCTTGTGTTTTTCTTGGGAGAGTCAGCAGAAATCTCAAGTCGAAACTAATGAGAAAAATGTGGCAAATGTGCTTATAGCAGGCATACAGGCATATATTTATTTATTTATTTATGTATGTATTTATGAATGAACCAGTGAGTAATTACGTAATGCGGATAAGCGCATCTTGGCTACAAATTTATAACCTTTAATACCTCAAGTCGTGATGGGCTCTAAAGCCGAGACGACGCGACAGTCGAGCGCGGCGCTAGCTAAGGCAACAACGCGTCGGATTAACGGCTTAACTTAGCTTAAATTATGTGCCACGTTGAGCAGTGTAATTAACCAGTGGAAAATGCTTTGGCAGTTTTGCCTACTCTGCGGGCTGTGGCCCAGCCAGGCACATGTGCGATTCACTCCAAGCACAACCTGGAGCAGCGTGCAACAGTACCCACCGCAACAATGGCAGGCCAGGAACTATAGTACTGTGAAAGCAGCCAGCAACGAACAAAACATCAAGCTGCAGCCCGTGGCCCTGTGTGAGGCACAGGATTTCCAGCACAACTACGAAGTGCTGGCTGAAGATGGCCAGTCTATCTTTGAACCGCATTTGAATCATTTTGAATGCACAAGAGCTGGCGAATGGGCCACCATGCGCGATCTCTGCTTGGATGAGTATGGTCTGCCCTGGCGGCGACTATGCAACGCCAAAGCCCAGTGGCAGCCACTCAAGCGACTCAACTGTCGCGCCGGCAACCAGCTGAGCCGGCAGCTCTACCAGCTGGGTGCCGAGCTGCTCGCTGCGGACAGCAGCAACCGCAGCAAACCGGTTCCATTGAACCGGCTGCAATATTTATTGAACCAGGCAAATGGCCAGCTGTCACCAGTTGATGTCTACAGCACGGCGCGTATAATTGCCAAGCTCTTGGAGCAGCAGCCAAAAAATGCAGCTATGGGCGCGGATTTGGTCAGCATTTGCCGAGAGATTATGTCTAGCGATACGCAGGTACTGCGAATGTCCGCACAGCTGAATGCAACCAACTTACTTCTGAGTCAATTTGAGGAATACATGGATGCACTGCCGCAAGAGCTGGTGCCCAGCCACAGCTGTGGTCGAGCAGCTAGCGAAGCCTTGGTATCGACTGACAAAGGCGTGGAAACACTCAACTATGCGCATTTGGGCGTGCAGGCACTGATGAGCAACAATCTGAGCGTATTCTATGTGAACCCGACATGTGCAAATATCACAGGGATTGCCATTTATTCATCAGCAGCTGAAGATCGGCAGGCATCTGGCAGCGGCTTTTGGTATCGCTTTCTTTATACAAATATGAACCTGGAGAAGCTGAGAAGGGAGACAAATCTAGAGACGGCCACCTACGTGCCGGAGCAGCTGTGGCGCCAGCTGAAAGAGCGCAGAGCGTCCTACGTCATACTCAAGGTCTACGCCCATGCCGGACTCTTTGTGGAGGCGGCCGAGCAGCGCAGTGGGCGACCACGCAGTAAAGTACTATCCATATCAATACCCGGACTTGAAGGTAAGTTGAACTAAGCACCAGCTCAGCTTTGGCTAGGCTTAAAATCTTTCATTCATGCAGGAGTTGGCTTACCGTCGCCTTTGCCCTTCTTATTGCCAAGGGGGAAGACTTTTGGCGAAGGCAGCCGCTGCGGCTATTGGAACTATAAGAGCTGGTTAAGTGATGGCGTCACCACTTGCACTGATAACGGCGCGGAAGAGTTCAATGTGCTCTGCCAGGCACAGCATTTGACGCAGTTTTCGTTTCTGATTGGTGGCAGCCACGCCCAACTGCAGCTGGAAAATGTTCAACTGCTGCTGGACAGGACCCATGAGCAGCTGCTGGACATGATCAGCTATGTGGGCTGCGGCCTGTCGTTGTTTGGACTCTTGTGCATCTTTTTAACCGCAGCGCTGGTCAAGAAGTGGCGCAGTCAGGCCTCTACTAAGGTGCTGCTGCATCTTTGCCTGGCGCTGGCCCTGCAGCTGCTGCTCTTTGTCTATCTCAGCGGTGGCGACGACTGGTTGACTCTGGAGCAGAACTGGAATCGCTGCTTGATTTTGGGCGCTGCGCTGCAATACTCTGTGCTGGTAATCTTTAGCTGGATGCTGATCATAGCCTTTCTGCAGTTCCAGCGTTATGTTACGGTTATAGGCGTGGCCCGCCCCAACCATTATATACTCATATCAGCACTGATTGCCTGGACTTTGCCTCTGCTGCCCACCCTTTCGGTTGTGCTGCTCGACGCCAAGTCATTTAAGCCATCGGCGTATCAGTTGAAACACCATGCGGCTTTCTGTTATCCCTCCGGCTATGGCCTGGCCCTGGGCGTGGTTCTGCCCATAGCCTTGGTCACCATCGCCAATGCATTCATGATGATCTGCATCATTTACAGCATACAGCGTGCGCTCAATCCTCGACGCCAGTTAATTGTCCAGCAGCTTCGCCTGTCTGTGCTGCTGTTCTTTTTGCTGGGACTCACATGGATCTTTGGTCTGTGCAGCTACATGCACCTGAGCATTATATTCTCCTATCTCTTTTGCCTCACGGCCACGCTGCAAGGCTTTGTGCTTTTTGTGTATTTTGTGCTTTTGAATAAGACGAATCGAAACGCCTGGCTGAATCTGATGTGTCCCAAACATTTTAAGTTAAAGGTGACAAAAACGGAACAACAATCGATGACCATTTCATCAAGCAACACTTCCAGAAGAACGCAATCCTAACTTAATGTAATCCATTTGAAAACTTAAGTACTTTTTTCTTATTAGCAACACCGAACAATATGTGGACATTTTTTCAACAAACTTTTACAGACGTAAACCCAACTTATGCCAGCATGCCATTTTTGTCCATTAACAAAATATGTTTATAAAATATGCAACTCAAGATACTTACAAGCAAACGAACCTTTAAAGCTTATTTAAGGCACAGCACATAATACCATAATAAATTATAACGATAATTAACACCGTATATATACCTGCTTTAAATGTATCAAAGCTACCAAGTTAGCAGCCACCTGGTATCACCCAATTATACGACAGAATCAATAAAAACTAAGATTTAAATTTAATTGCTTTAATTTTCAATTGACCTAAGCTTCTGCAACTGCAACTGATTCATAAGTTCTCCATCGATATCAAAATATATCTAGTTTCAAGCATTCAGCTTTAACCAAACCATGTAATCCATTTATCAGAAATTTAAACAAAATTTAAAAATACAAAGTAACGATAGCTTTATGTTCAATATTTTAGCAATGTCACCCAACCAGCAATAAGGTTTGACAGCCACCTTTTGTTACAGCGTGTTCACAAACCACTTTGCTATCAGCTTAACCGTTTTAGCTGTGAGTCAAACCGGTTTGCTGTTTGAGCAGCTCTGAGCAACTGCGTGAGTAAGCCACAAAACCAAACTGTATTTGACCTTCCCATTACAGAATAGCTAAACATTATTTAAAAGATTTTTAAATGGCTGTGCTTTTATTAAAACACAAATTATGAAAAAAGTGATGATACAAAAAATGATAAATGATGTGTTAATAAAAACATTCATATCAAATAAAAAATCCCATAACATAAGTATATGAGTAAAAAATAGGTTAAAAAATCGCAACAATTGTTCAAAATTGATATAATTATGAGAAAAATAGTTTGATATGCGGTACAGCAGATATTTAATTATTTATATTTAAATATCTTATATGCTTAAATGCTGTGAATCATGTGATGAAACAATCACAATAAGAATAGAGCGGTTTAGGTGTGTCAGCTGCCAAATGTTGAATGTTCATCTCGAAATGTGTTTGGTCATTATGAATATGTAATTAAAAGATGATTTCAAAGCAGAACCGTTTAATCTAATCAAATTATATAGTTTTGAGCAAAAGGGCTGACACTTTAATCCCAACTATGGTTGCCTAACTGCTGTTGACCTTATACATATAGCAATTTATTGCAATTCTGTGTTGGGATTGTTTTTGCCGCTTGTCCGGTTGTTGTTGTTGGTTTGGTGCGTTTTAATTTATAGCTTCTAAATTATGTAAATGATATGACAAACTTAATTTTGGTGAATGTATTTTTTGTGTATTCAACATAACATAGTTAGCGACCATTACGAGCGGTGCGTAGCTTTATTTATTTATTTTTTTTTTATTTTATACCCTTACAGAGAGTATTATAAGTTTGTTATGAAAAGAGTAACGCACGGATAGAGACATAACAGCTAAGTCTGGACAAACTAGTCTCTGCAGTTAGTTAATATGCCGAATCAGTCCACTATATCATATAGTTGTATGATCCAAGAATCAATGTATCCATCTTCACGAAACTCAGCAAATACGAGCTACACAATTCTATTCAGCTGTTCACAAGGGTATTTAAACTTCGATGTGCTGAATGTAGCCATTTATTCTTGTTTTAGTTTTCCTTATCTCATTCGGCCATTTGGAGGCTGAAATTAAAAAGGTATAACTCTCAGTTATGCTTTTTTCCGACTTGTATTTGTAGGCGCAAATTAGTTTGGGCTTAAATTAGAATACGGAATGCTTAGAGACTATGCTTGATGGTATTTAAATATAACGTTAAATTATATAACAACCAGTAGGATTATAACAAATTAACCTCATTTACTGGTTGCCACTGGCTGCTTATCAAGAACGGCATTCCACATGCCGCCGCCTCGAACTAATTTGAATAACAGACGATGCCGACGCCAACGCCGATGCCGGCGTCAATCAGCAAGCGCGTCATCTCACATCAACGTCGAATCCGCAGCAGCTTGAGCGGTATGTAGGAAGTTCCGGGTGCCACATCCTTGCCGTCGGGCAGGAAATTCATTGCATAGTTCTTGGGTGTCGGCGTATTTGGTGGCACCCCATAGCCCAAGCTCTGCTGTGTGGCAGCGACAGCGGGCTGCCGTTGCAATGGTTGCAGCTGCACTTCCGGCTTAGCCTGCCACAGCAGCGAACGCTGCCTGTCCGCCAGCTGGAAACGCTGCAGGTGGCCCTGTATGATGCGACGCAGCGCCGCCATGGTGCTCACACTGGGCGCCTTATAGTAATACGCCTGGCCCTGCGGCTGGACCTGTGGCAGCTTCTGCTGCTGCATCTGGCGCGGCAAGTAGCCCAGATTGGCGGCGCATGCGACCCCCAGCACAGATATCAGCTGCAAGATAAATTACAGTCCACATACAAATTGACAAATTGTTTGCCCGCTGACGACTTACACAGAGGCACGTCCTGTACATAATTTACACACACGACTGACCGTTTTATATGATTCACGCCAATAGTCGATACTCGCTACTGAGTACCCGATACTCGATACACACTCGCTCGCCAACTCGTTCGCTCAACAGCCACTGGACAACTGAATCCCAAATTTTCGGCTTTGGCAAATCATCTCGTTTCAAGTTCACGGGCCGCCGCAAATGCATTTACATAAGTTTCTAAACTGGCCAGTGCTAGGCACGATACCAACCATCTCCATCTTCATCTCAACCATATCTCCATATCTGTCTCTGTCTAGAGTTGTTGTTCAGCTAGTGGCTGTCGCTTTATTTTTAAAAGTTAATTCTGTTTCTAGCGCTGCCAACGGGGCACGTGATTTATGCAAATATTCATCTCATGATCAGATTTTTGTTTTTTGGTAGATTTTTTGTTTGCGCGTCTCCACTTTAACTTTAACCTGATCTGGTTTTGCCTTCGTTTGTGTTTTATAGCTTATACTCATCCAAAACTGCAGCAAAAAAAGTATATTTCAGTTGTGATCCTAAAATTTTCATTTTCAATTGGTAAGATCCAACTCCCTGAGACTCTTAAAAGTTGCCGAAAAAAAGATTGTCTGTAGGTTTTTGTACCCTAATTAGCTGTTAGTGATAACTTCTCTACATTTATTAAGTTTTGACAATCAGACTAATCTTTTTTTGCCTTTGCACTTGACCTATTTTGTACAGGGTATCTCAAATTCTAACCGCTGACTCTTACTTATGTATATTTGTTTGCCTGACATTATCAATCGAGTTGAATCGATCAGCAGCGCGCGTAACCAACAAACTCCCAGCCCTCGCAGATAAAACAAAGAATAACCTAGACAATCTCCACAATTTCTCAGCTGCGGTTGGCAAGATAATGAGCAGGTTCTGTTTTAGCCCAGTCTTACACATGAGTCTCTTAGCAAGCTTAGACAGAGGGGCGACTTTTTGGATGTTCACGCCGTTATAATTATGCAAATAACTTATAATATATCAGCATACATCATTTTTTTGACAACGCGCCTTTATGGACTGCATGTACATATTCATTTTTAGTCATTTTAATTAACATAATATTCAGTTGCTTTTAAAAGACGTGTGTCTAGAGCTTAACACTCCCTTTATAATCATACAAAGACATCTGTAGTTTTATATTAATTTTTAATCGCTGCTCCTTTATATTAACCCAAACAAAACGACCATTTGATGACTGATTTTTGAATTCATTTAACTGTCTGTCTGTGTTAAAATTTTCAGATTTGTTTGCTTGACAACTTAACTGAAATATATTGTATTGTCAGTATTTAGCCATTTTTGGTTATAACTTGTTCAATTTGTTATTCATATGCCGAACAACAATGAATATATATTTATGCGTTACTAAAATGCCTGCTTAGCTATAATAGATTGAATTACTCTTAAAGTAGGCTAGTTATAACCGATCAATTAGCATGCTGAAATTTGATATTTATTCCTCTTTATGTTGTTTTAACAATGTACGAAGTATATGTGTGTGTTATATCATTCAATTGATAATTCTATCAGCCTTTGAGAATCTTAATTTGTTGTAGAAATTTACGTGGTGATCAAAATACAAAATACGAGAAACCTGAAAATCTTAGTGTAATTAATTTATTATGCAACTTCGAAATATTGAAGCACAACGATCTCAAGACTCAAATATTCTTTCATTTAAATATTTAAATATGTTTTTGTTGTCTTCAACAAAAATTTATTAATTTTTTTCAATTTCAAAGATTTCTTCAATATTGCTCATTATTCTATTCTCAACAAAAAACTATTCAAGGGCTTAGCTTTTAAAATTGCAGTTAACAAATGTTATTTATAGTTGCGTGTTGTTATTCTAATTGAATCAATAAAGAGGAACACATTTAACTTTTCAGTTTACACTTTATGTAAATATGAGTTTGTGTATATATCTGTTTGTGTAATCGGATTGGAGCATTCAATTTACATTTATTGGGTTTTCACACATCAAGCAATGCAATTATCTAATGGAATTTCTCGAAATTTTTAGCAGCCCATCATCAACCCCCCACAAACCCAACCTTGATGGAAGCTGTTGTAGCAATCGGTGATTGCGGCGAAACCAAGCTGCGTCTCTCTGCGCAGGGCTCCTCCCCGCTGCTGCCCCATTTAAATCATTATCATTTATATGCCAGTGGAACGGGTGGCGGGGAAGGGCAAGACGACTATCACTGCGGCAGCATCAGCAAAAGGTGTTGAGGGTAGATGCTGAAAATCAGTTGGAAAACCGAAACGGAAACGGAAATGATGCGCTACGTTAGAGTCAGGCATGGCACTTAATTAAAGCGTTGCATTGGAATTGGAATTGATTTAAGCGGCAGCATTACGTAATTAGAATTTGCCATTCTACCCAGATCAGCTTGATTGCATTAACATTTCGATTTGTATGCAAAACTGCGCGCTGCTTCCAAGTATGCAATGGATTGTTCAAAGTGTTATGAGAACGTTTAAGCTCGCTTAATTACTATGTAAATTATTTGTGCAATGTGTGTTTGTGGATGCCCCATATTGATGACGGCTCCTTCTCTTCAAGCGTACAGCACTTACTCAGGCAAAGCTCATATATATTTCATATGATACGCATAGGGCGCATCATAATCATCATGAGGCTGACTGCCCGGAATGCCACTTCCATACCCTGTACTTGTCAAAATAGGTCGCATTGGGTATAATGGAAACAAACTGTTGGATTTTCTCTGATGGCTCCATAATGTATGTATATACTTGATGTGTATCGACAAGTTGATAAAACCAGACTATATCTCATGTAGAGCCTATACTTATGGAATATTTTTAATATCGATCCAAAATTTCTCTGAACTAAATACATACACAATTTGAAACTCTTATAATTTAATTTTTCTTTAGCAATATTTTATTAAAATTTTAATGCTGAGTACAGGGTATCTCGTCGCCATTACCCTAGAGTTATCTTTTATTTTTTCTGCTCTCGCTTGTCCAGCTGGCTTTGAAAGACAATTTCTCAACCCTCCAAATGGCCCGGCTGACTGTTATATAATGAGTTTGATGGGCTTTTGAACTAAACCCAATTGAGGAGAGGCATTTCATTTTGTACGGATTTGATAAAAATGACGAGGGCGTTAAGCAAGATATGTAGTATGTACTAGCAAAAAGGATGTGAAGGTCCAAGCGAGCGGTAACAAATTTAGTTATGTCTGATAGGCTACAGGCAGTCGCAGCCCACGCTCATATTTTATGCATGACCAGCTCCATCTCCGGCACAAGCTGGGCTGGGCGAATTGCTTTCCAATTGACTAAACGCAGCGCTCGGCCAAGCATTCCACACGTGCGGACGGGTCGAACGAACAGCGGCCAGCCGTTTGGGCGCGGTCAAGTAGCCATTTGCTGGGCGCGCCAAGACGCCATTGCCAAACGGCGCCACGAACTGCCAGTTATCGGGGGCTGATCAAATGGATCAAGGATTTTTACGTTGCAATGGCACGAATTCCGCGCCAGACAAACTTCACCTGGCCTGGCTTTGACTTATTTGGCTTCAAGCTAAACAAAACGTTCGTTGTAGACCCAAACGAAATGTGAATAAACTTTGCCAAAAACCACAAACTGTCGATAACTAATTAAAATGTTTACGATACACATTGGGGTGGGTGTCGGCAGTTAGAGACGAAAATGTAGCTGCGGGGACACAAAAAATTATACGACAGAAACGTTTATATTATTTTTATCAATTTATTATTTGTACAGATAACTTATTGATTAAAAACACCAGTCACGATTAAAGTCGATTAAAAATTGAAGTTATAAAATTATTTTATCTAGAATATTTTTATTTTAATGGAATTAATTTACTCTTCATTACAATATTATTTAATATAAGTGTCAGTTCAAGTAATGAAATATTATTCCTTTTTATAATTATTCAAACTTGTTAGTTTTTATTTTGAATGAAAATTGTGGAAAAATGAAATTCACCCAGCTCTTAAGTAACGTTTATTATTATTATTATTATTTTACCCTGAACCCATTAAAAATGGGTATAAGGGTATATTGTATTTGTCAAAATCCAAATGCATGTAACAGGCAGAAGGAAGCATCTCCGACCCCATAAAGTATATATATTATTGATCATCACCAATAGCCGAGTCGATGTCATGTCTAGCCATGTCCGTCTGTCCGTCCGACCGTCCGTATGTATGAACGCAAAGATCTCAGAACCTATAAGAGCTTAGATTTAGATGCTCCTAGTTCCCGCGCAGATCGAGTGTGTTTCCGAAAATCGATAACTTACTACGTTTCCAAGCAATCGATAAAAATCGATATCGATATCCTGTTTTTTGGGCAATTTTGGTAAATAATAAGAGCTAGAGTCACCAAACTTGACATATAGCTTCAAAAATGTAATATATATATTCATTTGATGTTGGAAGAAGAGGTTCAGGGGTCGGGAGCTCCCGACTAGAACCTCTTGTTATTTATTATTTTATTGAGGCTTTCATATTTTAGCCATTTTAAAAATAAAATAAAATTGGAATAAAATACAATATTATTTTCTTCACACACTCACATTACAATTTAAAATTTAACGATAACTGGTGTAAGTCACCTTTTCAGTATAAGTACTAATAGTAAGCTGACCAGCAGGAGGCTACTCTGGATTAGTTTTTAAGATATATAATATCTAATAAGTAGTATTAGAAGATAGTAGATAGCGATGTCACATTATCAATGGCTTCTGGCAGCAGCTCCCATGTATGTGTTGATTATGTGAAGCATAAGTGTTAAGCGTTCAACCAATAAGAGCAGTGAGACTAAAATAAGAATACTTACAGACTAACCAATTAATAAATATATCTAGTTTACTTAATCATCCTCCCATATTCACTCACTCTGATAAAGTGATAGAGTAACAGGATACCAGATTTTGAAATAAACAAAATATATTAAAAATAAAATAATGTCTGAAGACGAGACCCCTTATCTTCCCAGTTTTTTTAAGAGCCTGCCGATCATCAGCATGTTTTATTTTATTATAATAATAAATGTATGCTTTAGGCAATTCTAAATATTTTTTGCAAACAATTTAAAAATAATTTAAAATGCTGTAAAACATTGTTTTTTGTGTTTTCATTTCTGCAGCCTAAAAGCTCTATAGTTCCCACCGTGTGAATTTAAAACAATAAGCTTTAGTTTTTAATGCGATATTTTTGCAATAGTAAGCCGCTTT